TTAGCCCATCTTGGTTGTAAATAATGGATTCAATTCAATATTGGGGTTACCTGGGGTTTAAATTGGTACTGATCTTAGTCTAACGTTTCCAATTTCAGGAATTGAAGCACATTACTATATGCCTTTGCCAGCATGCAAAATGTTAATCTTGATAGATTGCATTAATCTTTATAGAGAGCACTTTTTGCTCCACTTATATTTCAGGATCTTAACTCCTCAACATAAGGATGCTTTAGCTCTTTATACTGAGAACACTGCACATTTATTTTAATTGGATAACTGAGATTTTCTGCTTACTGAGCTGTCTGCCTGACATTTGCAAAATGCAGCTTTTTTTTCCCTAGCATAACCTAACAGTTTATTTTTATTTTTTATTTTTTACAAGGCCCATCACCCAACATGCAGAACCTAATCCTTAATTAGTTGTCATATTTGTTTGGATGTTATACATCATCCATCGGACAGAACAGTTTGGGTTTCTGTCCTTTCGTAATGTCCGTTAAACGATGTTATTTGCAGCCAACCTGTCTGATGGGAAAGAGAAGGGACACTTCCCTGGGAGCCGATCCCCGCTGAGCAGGCGGCGGGCTCAGGGAGGCGTGGGTTTTCACTCTGACTTATGTGGAACAGGGGCTGGAAGAGCAGATTCCCAGCCAACACACTACCCAAGTGTTTCTCAATGAGTAATTATTTCAACAGGATGGAAGGTCTTTCACAGAAGAACAACTTGACCCAATATACACAGATAGAAGAACACCTCCTGCACTAAGTTAAGCCAAGGGAAGATTTTTAAACCCATCTCCCGCCTATATTTGTGTTTCAAACACGGTTTCAGTGAGCCTGGCAATGGCTTCTACCTCCCCTTCCAGCCAAAACTCTTATTCTTAGTACCCCCTACCTAACGGGGCACTGCAATCTACACAAAGCAAGATTACCCTCCTTGAGCACCCTGGTAGGACATGAGGTAGGAAGCTGAGAAGTTTGACAGCATCTATTCTAGAGAGCCCAACAACAGCTGAACACGACCTCCTGGCCCTGACCACTGCCTGACTGCACCCTTAAAATGAAGTTTCCAGGTCCCTTCATGGACACAATTCAACGTAGCTGCTCCCCACGAATGGGTAATCGTGTGTTTCATTGCTTTGCTGTGTAGAGGAGGTGCACCCCAGCCAGCTGAAGTGAGCGGTGCGATGCCCTGCAGGGAGCCGCCGCATCACCATTGCAACTATGCTGCCACCGCCTTCCATTCATTTGTGTGGATATAGGAAACGTACCCACACACTTAAATGCAAACCAGCATGAAATAAAAACCTTTCTTCTTCCATGTTATGAAAACAAGGTCTTGGGTCGAGAAGTGCTTTTATTCTTTTTCCTCCCCATGCTAATCCCAGTCTTACCTCATTAGGAGAAAACATTCAAGTGGTTGATACACTGGCATATACTACCTAGATTTTCTGATCCTAGTCTGTGTCCGGTGTGCTCGTGTGAGGTGCTGCAAGAGAGCTACTGGTATGCAGAGCAGTAGGGAAGTGCTAGAGAGGCAAAAAAAAAAAAAAAAGAAAGAAAAAAAGAAACAGCTGCCAGAGAACAATTTCCCTTTCAGACAAAAAGCAAACATCTCCATTGCTAGATTAAGTTATGTGTTGTAAGGACTCAAGCTCCAGTTTGGCAGAAAAGCTCTTGTTATAGTGAGAGATGAAGCGTATGCCCTTTAGGAGTAAAAGCAGCATTATGATAAACTTTTATAATGCTATAAGATGGCTCGTTTTGATGACACTTTCATGAATTCTTCAAAGACCTCCCAAAATCATTGTCTCCCTTCTGATCTCACCTCCTACACAAATCTTCCCTTCCCACTGAAACAAGGTTGCCTTTTATGTTTTTTCCTCTTTTCTTCTCTCCCCTCTCCCTACCAAAGTGATACTGCAGCTCTCTGTTAGGGATGAAATCATTTGCACAGCCTTTTTCTCCCTCATTTACTTTTTTTCCTGTACCGCAAAGCTGAAAAAAACATGGCAATAGAAGCATGTCAAACTTGCAGAAAAAAATCACTTGATGGAAGAAACAGCAATACGGCATGAGAGCAATTGAAATAAAGAATAAAAGTAGCAGAAAGTTAAAGAAAATTGAATTCTAGTGAAAAAGTGTAACATTTTACCCACCTAAGAAGCTAACAAACAACGTGGATGGTCTTATCTTGAGCAAGGACAGACTAGTACAGGATACGGTGTACAGGGCCAGTCCTCATTTCCCAAACAGATTCAATTTACACTCTGCTAGACAATTAAAACTGTATTAGAATTTCAAATAACTGGGAAAAAAAAAATACCCTGGAAATCCTACCTGCATCAGCCTTCGTTTTGGCTGTGCATGATGCTTTGCTTATTCTCTGGCAAATTATTCAATACATACAAAGTATTTATCAATTTAGCATGTGTTGGCTACTTGGCTAAGGATGGATCAAATTGTAAATAACGATACCAGGGAACAGGCGGATGAATCCAACCATGTGAAAATGATGCAGTGTTTCGGGTTGTGCGTGTGTCCCCCGCTCATATTTCTGTATTCACATGGGTCTCACCTTCCTTCAGTTCAAAACTTACTACCTTGGTCATTTCATCAAGCCACCCAAGGAAACAGGGTCGATGTATCCCTCACGCTTGGTGGGGAGAAGAGTACGCTTGAACATCCAGTGTTCCCGTTTCACACACAGATAGAAAATCAGCACGACCTGATGCCTCCTACCACTGCTGGCAAACATCCGCGTCTCTCCTCTTCACCTTCCCAGAAGGATCCAAGCACTTCTGAGAGCAAAGCTGGCTGCTAAACTGCAAAACATGCAGTATTTAATCCCTTACCTTTATGGCTTCTCTTCCTCTGCTACATTACACTAGAGCAGGAACCCCTGCAGGAAAGTCCCACAGTTCTGCCGGTGGGCACAGGACAGGACTTAGAGCTCCTTAAACTCATCAGCCTCACCGGGACCTGTTGGACTGATGGGTACGTCCATGCCTACGAGCACGGAGTCGTCTTTCCCGTGCCTTGGATGACAAACCTGGGAGTGACCAAGGGAGCCTTCTGGAGCAGCTACCTTCCCCTCCCGCTCTGCCCCTGGAGGAAACGCCGCTGCCCGGGCAGGAGACAGCTCTGCAGAAAGCCACCGGCCGTCCATGGCGGGGCAGAGGTGGGCACAGGCTTGGCAGCGACCTGCCCTCCTCGAGCAGCTACAGCACAGCTGTGGGTTTGGGATCCTCTCTCGTGAAATGCCCTCTTTGAACGCGGTCGCTGTGGAATGCGGTCATTTTGGAAGGTGCCTCCTTTCCCCCCAGCTCTTCCTCGCACGTTACACAGGGTCGCCCGAACGAGACGCCTGATGCTGGGCTGGCCCTGCCTGTCTGGGAAGCAAACCTGCGAGCCAGTCCCGTGCC